TTTTTTAAATGTGAACTTCACTCCAGCAGATATGCTCACATGTAACATGGGATGTTTGGTTTTAAGCACCTGGCTTTCTCTTCCTGTTTTTCTCTCTATGTGTCATTCAGGGTATGTTCTGTCTCTCCGGGTTGTATTTCCAAGCTGATAAAACTCTCCCTCCCATGGAAGCTCAGATAAGAACTGCTGATTGTGACGCTTAGACAGTGTGTGTGCACAGTAAAAAAAGAAAAAAAAGCTCAGAACCCAGGTGGTGAGCACACACAAAACTCTGTCCTGTTTGTAACATTTTTTAAACCTTTACAATATACACTAATATCTCACTTTGACAAAAAAAAAAAAAGGTTTATGTTTAAAATTTATCTGTTCAAGCTTTGAAGGTGCTTGACAGAGTTTCTTGATTCTTTTCATTTTGAAGAGGTGACGCAAAATATAAAAATGTCCCTGAAGTGCAGCCCATAAGCTGATTGCTTAACTGCTGGGAGCAATGAAGCGGTATCATTCTTGAATCAAACCAGGAAACCAAGAAAACACATAGCCCAATGATCTACAATTGCCACAATAAATAGTGACTTAAAATAGTGCAGCTCTTTGCATCACCATGCTGCTATGCCACAAAGTTATAGGAAAGCCTGGGAAAACTCAAACATCTCAGTGCCAGCTCACACCAGATAAATCACCCCTTTGCTGGAAAAACATCACCTCAGCCCAAGTTTTTTGTTTTGTTTTGTTTTGTTTTTTTTTATACAGGGCTTGTTGGGATAATGCTGTGGCAAACCCACGTGTTTACATAACTTGCACATTGTGGTAAACATGGATCAAGTAAAAAAAATGTCTGACAACTTCTAAACTCCCACCACCCACACTGTCTCACAAAGGCAGGATGCGGTTAAAAAATACAACTTAAAGCGGGTTGCAGGTCCTTCTTCTCTTCCCACCAACTCCATTCCGTGTGGCTGACTGGTTCCAGTCTAGCGTTTCATACACATACAAAACCCACACATTGTTTGTTTTACTTGTTGCCACGGTGATCATGGCATCTCTCAATGCTTGACCTGAATAGATGCTATCGGGGCAGAGCCGGGCAAAGCTTAATGTGCATTACCTCTGGAGATTAGAAGGGATTAGAAATATTGCAGACTAATAGAGTGGAAATTTGCTCCAGCAAATAAATTATGCAGGGTGTTTTTGATCTACTGTGTCAGCTGTGTAAAGACTGTGTCAGCTGCATTAGTCCCATAATTAGGGTCAAAATCAGGGCACTCTTAGGGGTGAAGGTTTGCAGTGGGAACCAAAATCAACCTGAGCTGGATGGCAAAGGGCCCCAGAGCTGCATACTGTTTGTTCCTGGATCAGTAGGGTGTTTCTTTCCAACTCTGTTAACTATATGATAGGCAGAGGGACATATTACTGCTGTTTGATTGTTTTACAACCTATTGGCACCAGACGGTCTGCCTCAGGTATGACCTAAGTGTGTGCATTTAGCACGTTTTGAATGGCTTTAAGAGAAAATACACTAGTACGAAGAGACAGCCCGGTTCTTTACAAGTAAATGTGGTCAGGGCATAAAACACAACTCTCTTCTGAGAGCAAACCATAAACTTGTGTGTGATATTTGCAAAAAATAAAACTAATGCAAGGACTTAAAGCAAAGAGAAATGAAAAGCTCAAGAAATTGAAATGCTTCAAGGAGTTGCACCTGCAGAGGAGTCAATCATCTGTCTGATAATCGTGGAGCAAGGCTGAGGGTTTGTCATCTGTGACTGGTTAGACCTGATTTGTCACATGTATCTTTGTCCTCTCGTTGAGCACAGAGGGTGGGGTTTACCTGTGGCCTGTCTGTACAGAAAGAGTTTAAAAAGGATTGAAAATCTCCTTTTGTTTTTTTTCCAAAAGTAGAAATATATAATCTTATTTCTAATAACATAATAATACCTTAAAGAATCTCAAAATCAAACATATTACACAATTTCTTGTGTTAGGTTAGCTAGGGTTTTTTAGAATTGCCAGTGTTATGATTCTTAAACTATACAGGTTTAGGTATGGTTTATTAAAAAAAAGTCCAATTAGCGGCATTGTAATAAACCTCATTCTCACCACTTATAATACTACATAGTATAATACTATAATAGACTTGCATGTTGCAGGAACTCTCTGCAGGGAGAGAGAAAAAAAAACAGGTCAGTAAGTTGCGCAAAGACTTGGCATTGAGTTTGCAGACTGTGCCAATTATTGTGTGTTAAAAACATTTCCTTAATCTCATAACAGTTATGTTTTACCCATTTAAACATGCATGTTCACAAGCTATCTGTAAAGTGGTTCATTGTATGAATTTTTTGAACAATCAGCATGTTTGGCAAATTGAACTTGGCCTTTTTTTTTTTAAGTGAATCTAAAGATTAAGACCAAGTCATAACGTCAAACAGGAAAGTCAAGATTTTAGGTGGCAGAAAAAAAATATGTGGATGTGAAGTGCAAGGTTTATAGAATAAAACACATAAAACCTTAACCAGACCTAAAGCGCAAGTCTTATGCATCTCATTCCCCCCCATCAACACGTGTCTTCTAACCTCTGAAGTTGAGTGCAAATGTTTCCATCACCTGTGTGAATCCTGCAGAGTGAGTGTGTGTGTCATATGGCTGCAGTTTACAAACACAGTTTGTCTCCTGTTACCGGACACCAAAGCTATTCTGGCCTCCTCCTCTGATGCACTCCATCCGGGTGTCTGGTCTCTTTGTAGAAGTCTGCAAGTCAAGGTCAGCAGGTCACATTCCTCCAGCTCTTTGGCATCCTGCCCCAGACTTCAAGTAGTGTGGAAGGGGTATGTTTGTGTGGTGTGTGTGTGCCATGAGTTGTTTGCTTTTCATGCCACAAACTTCCATTCACCAATTGGTGCTTAGTTCGGAACCAACACCACTTGAGCTGTGGAAAAGATAAAGAAGAGTTCCCTATTCTGAAGAACCCAAATATCAGATGAGATGCAGAAATATGTGTTATACAGAGTTTCCAATGTGGCCAATGCAGACATATGCAGTTTAAAGATCAAGCAGATGAAGAGTCAGTGCCTGTATAAGAAATAACACAAGCTGCATTACATCTCTGGCAGGAAAAAAACAAAACAAAACTCATGATTTATTCAATTTTTTTCAATATTCCAATTAAGTTTTTCTGTTTTAAATACTGATCAATGATAGCTTTTAGGCCCATAATGATTCAACCCCTTCAGATGAAGATTTAAATAAATCTTTTCTTTTTACCAACATGTTTCTTCCAATTAGAAAAAAACCCGGATACTTTGAAGTAGCCTGGCAAGTTTCCCCGATTGATTGCAGCAAAGAATTTGTGGAGAAAGGTAAATATTAAGGTGATGGCAAGGAGCCCTTTCAACAACCAAAAGCTTGAGCTCATTACCAAAGATAAAAGTAAATCAAATAAGATGATCGTACTTACGTCTGATAATTGGTAGGGAAAAAATATTAGTCGGTAATATTGCCTGGAAGCATTGCACCTGATTCACATCAGTTATGATTTGGATTTAAATAGTAATAACTGGTAATATGCATTGTGATAATGTGAGTAACAACAACATCTAATTTCCCTGACAATTAATATATTTAGTGAATATTACAAAAATAAGCACTAATTAAAACAGAAAGGTAGCATTGAAAATGATTGGTAAGCAATTATCTCACAGGGAGGTATGAATAACATTATAATCATTTAGATTAGCATATAAGTTCAAAATATGTTCACTGTATGTCTATTTACAGTTGAAAGGTAATTTAGGTTTCTGACAAAGCCCTATTAGTCCCAGAATATTTTGCTTTAGATGAATGACGTTGCTCTTAAAGTAATCTCGTAATATCCTCCTTACTATGACAATGTGCTACACCCAAATCTGACTGTAGATATGGAGGAGTGGATCTTTTACCCGTGGTCATCTTCTAATTTCTTTAACTGAAGTTCAACACACGCGGGACTCACTTAAATAGCATGTCCTCTCGTCTTTCCCATTTTGAAGAACGGCTATGGGAGATAGACATCTAGGGGAGCATTAAACTTCAAGGAATAAGGACATTAAATAATGCTATTACACTGAAGACTGATTTTTCTTGAGGCATATTATATATCTTTACTAACTGTGCCTATAAATGTGAAGTTTACTGAATATACAGTGGGCCATGCAAAGTTATGCTTGGAGTTTGTGATTCATCTACAATCATATAGCAAAAAAAAAAAAAAGTTATGAAATTGTTACTTTTAAGTCCAGTGCTAAAAACAGCTATGAAAAAAAAAAAAAACATTTTAGGGATGATTTCATACAACATTTGACTGAGAGTACAAAAAGAAGAAGGAAGAAATATGAAATACCTCAAACACTGAGAAACTACTGTTTTCTATGAGAGATACTATCTCAGAGTTAGAAACACCTGGATAAAAGTATTCATTAACCAACGAATTGACGTTTAAGGACGTCCTCAGTAAGTTTTGTTCTCTTGTTATTTCTTAATGATTCATCATTAACATAAAACAAAAAACAAATGATTAAATTAACTAAGAATAAATAAATAAATGGCTGAGTGAATAACGTTTGGTTATCTAACATAACCCCAGTTCTTAGAATAATATGAGCGAGGTGTCTCGCTATGGGATGCAGCCGCCTGCAGCCCTGATAGAAGCATCTATCTCAATCTGCCAATCCTGATTGGCCGGTGGAAGTGCCCATCATACGCCACGCCCCGTAGCTCCGACTACTAAAGCGTGTGCGGATCACGGCACTCCAATTCAACAAGCAAACCTCTTCTCGCCGCCCTGCAAGAAGGGTCGTCTGGCGAGACACCTCGCTCATATTATTCTAAGAACTGGGGTTATGTTAGATAACCAAACGTTCTTTTTCATAATATTCACTCGGTGTCTCGCTATGGGATATGGTAGCTCCCGTATTGCCAGACAGCTTATCGAACAAGAACCGGCCGATGGGGAAGGTCCACAAGGTCAGTTATGACTCTAGGACCGCACTGGCCATGCACGGTCCTGACACGTCAAGCATGTAGAACCGGACAAAAGTCAGAGGCGAAGACCAATTCGCCGCTGAACAAATGTCCTGAACGGACACTCCCCGAAATAAAGCCCAGGACGCAGCCATCCCGCGGGTAGAGTGTGCACGCAGACCCGCCGGGGGCTGCAGACCCCTGCTTCCATACGCCAAAGCTATAGCCTCCACCACCCAGTGGGCGAGGCGTTGCTTTGTGATCGGCTGTCCCTTACGGGGCTCCGCCCAGGAGACAAAGGGCTGATCACTCCTCCTGAAGCTCTGCGTCCTGTCCATATAAGAGCGCATGGCTCGAACAGGGCACAGCGTGTGCGCTCGCTGTTCACCTGGGGAGAAGGCGAACGCCGCTAGCTCGATCGGTGAACAAGAACCAACCACTTTAGGAACAAAGGCCGGGTTGGGCTTCAGAACCATACGCGTGTATTCCGGGTCGAACCGGGTACATGCGGGGTTCACAGAGAGCGCATGAATGTCGCTGACTCGTTTCGCAGAGGCCAGGGCCAGTAACAGCGCTGTCTTGAGAGACAGATGTTTAAGACTGGACCCCAACAACGGTTCAAATGGGGGTCCCTTAAGCCCCTCCAGAACCACCGACAAATCCCACGGAGGCAGCAAAGGTCTGGAGATGGGGAGGAGCCTGCGGGTGCCCTTCATAAACCGACTAACCAAAGGGTGTTGGCTCGCCGTTTTGTCTCCAAATCCTATATGGCATGCTGCTATAGCTGCCAGATAAACCTTAACCGTGGAAAAAGCTTTTCCTTTATCAATCAGTTCCTGTAAAAACGACAGAATCGCTGGTACAGAACACTGAAAAGGAACATAGTCCCGTTCAAGACACCACCGCTCAAACAGTCTCCACTTGGAGCCATATAGGCTCCTAGTAGAGGGAGCCCTGGCGTTTTGGATAGTAGTAATTATACTCTGAGGGAGTCCCGTAGTGGTTAAATTAAGCCACTCACGGGCCAGGCCCACAGCTGCAGTCGCTCCGGGTGTGGGTGGAACACTGTCCCCGCACCCTGCGAGAGCAGGTCCCTGCGCAGCGGCAGCTCCCAAGGCTGGGCGCACAGCATCTGGAATATCTCCGCCAGCCAGTGTTGCGCTGGCCAGTGCGGAGCTATTAGGATCAGTTTGTGATTGAATGCCCTCACTCTGGCGAGAGTGGGGGGTATCAGGGCCAGCGGTGGAAACGTGTATAGCAGCTCGTGCGGCCAGGCGTGTGCTAGTGCGTCTACGCCCAGAGGGGCATTCAGAGTGCTCAGAGAGAAGAACAGCTCGCATCGAGCGTTTTCCCTGGACGCGAACAGATCCATCTGAGCGCGCCCGCAGCGCGCCCATATCTGCTCCACGACCTGTGGGTGCAGCGTCCATTCCCCGTACACTGGCGCGCCTCTCGACAGCAGGTCCGCACTCGTGTTCAAGTCCCCCGGGACGTGCGTCGCTCTCAGGGAGAGAAAGTGGGCACTGCTCCAGAGAATCAGGTCGCGCGCCAGATTGTGCAACATGCGGGAGCGCAGGCCCCCTTGGCGGTTGATATACGCCACTGTTGTCGTGTTGTCCATCCTCACCAGGACATGGTGACCCGAGAGGAATGGGAGGAAGTGTCTCAGAGAAAGAAACACCGCCGAAAGTTCGAGAAAGTTTATGTGAAGGCGCTGGAGGGCCTGGCTCCAGCGACCCCTCACAGACCTGCCCTCGTGAATGCCGCCCCAGCCTGATAGGCTGGCATCCGTGGTTACCACTTTCCTGGACGAGACGGTGCCCATAGGCACCCCTTGGGTCAGGAAGGACGGGGCTCGCCAACAGCGCAGAGCTGTTATACAGTCCGCTGTGACCGTTATCCGCCGTGCGCCATGACGCACGGGGTCCATTCGGAGCGAAGCGACCCAGCGCTGAAAGTTCCGCATGTGAAGGCGGCCGAGGCGAATCACGAGGATGGCTGAGGCCATCACACCCAGCAACCGAAGGCACAGTCTGAACTGGACAGACCTGTGCAGACGGAATTGTGCAAGGCACGCTCTGAAAGTCGTCACTCTTTCCTCTGACAGGCGGGCTGTGAACGGAACAGAGCGCAGGGATAATCCCAGAAAGCATATCTCCTGCGTTGGAGATAGGTGGCTTTTCTCCATATTTATCACAAAACCCAAATCCATCAGGTGTGTTGTGACAATGTGTGTGTGAACCCTGGCTTCCTGTTCTGACTGCGCTAACAGGAGCCAGTCGTCTAAATACACGGCCAGACGTATCCCCCGGCGTCTGAGCGGGGCTACCGCGGCCTCTGTGCACCGTATGAAAACCCTCGGGCTGAGAGACAGACCGAATGGTAGAACACCGTATTCGTAACACACCCCTTGAAAGGCAAATCGGAGATATTGTCTGTGAGGGGGATAAATGGGAATGTGGAAATACGCGTCTTTCAGATCCACGGATGAAAACCAGTCGTTCGGTCTTACTAGACGCAGCAGTGCTGCATGTGTCAGCATCCTGAACTTGTATTTCCGCAGGAATTTGTTCAGGGCTCTTAAGTCCAGAATAGGGCGGATTCCTCCCCCCCCCCCCCGTTTGGGGACGAGGAAGTATCTGGAATAAAACCCTGACAGACTCTGTTCGGGAGATACGACAGAAACTGCTCGTTTGTCTATCAGAGAGAGAATTTCCTCCCGTAAAACTCGAGCTGATTCTCCCTGTGCATGTGAGTGTATTACACCGGAGAAGCGGGGAGGGACAGTGGCGAATTGAAGCCTGTATCCCCGGGAAATTGTGCGCAACACCCACGATGGAGCTGCTGCTGCTCTCCAGCTTTCCCATCTGAGAGATAGCGGGGGAACATATTGCGGCTCCTGCCCCGCGCCCCCCTGTGGTGGAACCGAGAAATGATTCTCGGCCACCACCGGAGGCACGGTGGGGAGCTCTGCTCTGCCCCGCGGGGACGGCGGAGCCCGTCCCGGGAACAGAGCTGCAGGGGGCTGAGCAGCCACCCTGCTTATGGAGAGAGCATTGTCTGTTTTGGCTTTTTTTATTATCTGCACCCTCAGCTCGTGGCCTGTCTGTGACAGATTTATTTTTATTTTGACACCATTTTTTCTTTGAACAAGGGTGTGTGACTGTGCTTGTGGACATTCCGCTCGTGGCGCAACCGCGCAGACCTCCGGGGCGATGTCCTTCTCCTCGCGGACCGGCTCTGGGATGGGCAACGGTGGCGTGGGGTGCGCACAAACAAGCCAAAACGGTGGGCCTGCGCAATGGGGAGCGGCAGGCTGCACCAACTGAGGAACTGGCGGCTGTCAGGCCGCCCTCTTTTTCTTCCTCGCCTGTGGGACCGAGCTCGCGGCGGCTGTGGGCGGCGGCGGCGTAGCGGTCGTGGAGGCAGGTTTCCCTTGCCAGCCGGCTCCGCGCTCCTTCCTCATCGGAGGGGGCGGACCTGGCGGTGGTGGCCGTCTTGGTATCTTAAAACGCGGCGGCTGGGAGGCTGCTTGCGCAAAGGTTTTGCGCTGCACTGGAGGTGAAGGCGCAGGGGCTTTCCGAGGGAGACAAAGTTTGAGGGCCTCGTTGTCCTTTTTCTTTGCCTCACATCTTTGCTGCATTGTGGCCAATGCAGAGCCGAAGATGCCTTCAGGGACGATTGGCATATCCAGGATGTCATCCCGCTCCCTGTCGGTCAGGTTAGCGAGACTGAGCCATCACGCTCGCTCCTGGACGACGAGGGTTGCCATCACCTTCCCTGTGGCCTGGACCGAGACACGTTGGATACGGAGAGACAGATCCGCGATGACCGCCATCTCCTCCCACGCATCCGGGTCTTGCTCCTCAGCAGACGCGCCAAACAACTCCGCTTGGTAGGCAGTGAGGATGGAGAGGGCGCTGAGGGCTCTGGCCGAGAGGGCTGCTGCTTTGTATGCCTTTTCGGTCAGCGCAGACTGAAACCGTTCGGGCTTAGCTGGCAGCGTCGGGCGCCTAGGGGAAGCTGCAGACAGCTGGCTCACGCTGCCTGGGCAGACGTGCGCAGCTACCGGGAGTTCCACCGGAGGCATGGAGAGAAGGCCGTGGGCGTCCATCGCCTCGCAGTCGAGGGATGCTGCGCCCGAAATAGGGCTCCTGTTGCTGTATGGGCAGCTAGTCCATGTTTTGGAGAGCTCCGTCAGCAACTCGGGGAAGACAGGGAGAAGCTGCTTCACCGCATTTCGTGCCAGGGGAAGCCGTTTGCCTTCGTAGCGGGACCGGTTGGGCTCCGCTATTGCGACCGGCCAGGGGATCTCCAGCTTCTCTGCCGCGCGTTTGCACACGTCGAGCAGGTCCACATGGAGGGAGGGAGCTGGTGAGCTCGCTCCCCTGTCTTCCTTGGCGGAAGGGCACTGCGGTTTAGGCTTCTCAGGCTGTGCTGGGGCCATGAAGGTGTCATCCTCTTCCTCGTCCTCTGATATGAGGAACGAGGTGTCGTCATCCTCCTCCATGGGGCTGACTTCCAGCACGTCTTCCTCGGGAAACGGGGGGGCATGGAGCTGCTCGCACTGGGCACCCCAGTCGTAGTCAGTCTCCGGAGCTTCCCCAGCTGTGTCCACGTCCTCCTCCGCGGCTGCACCTTGTGCGGCGGTGGGGAGGAATGGATCACAGTCCGAGACGCTAACCTGGCGGGCTAGCCTGCGTCTGAGGCTCTTAACCGTGAACACTTTGCAGTGTCCACAGGAGCCGGGAATCTCTAGGGCCAACCTGGCGTGGTCGACTCCCAGACAGGTACTGCACACCGGGTGGGTGTCCTTCCCTGAAATTTTATTCCCGCAGCCACAAAGACGGTAGTCTCCCCTGGCGTGGGGGTTTTGGACGGTCGCCATTTTCCAACGAGCTGGAGTGCTGGTAGGGAAAGGAACCGTAGCTAGCTGGCGTGCTAGCGTGGCGGGGTCGAGGAAGTAGCTGGTGTGCTAAATGCTCGTCCTACTCGAGCGTCCGTGGAGGGGAGCCGAGAGGGATTCCGCCGTGAAGAGAGACAAAAGGATACCGGTCCGGTCTGGGGTGAGCGGACAGGGCAGAAGCCAGAGCACAGTGCTAGCGTCCGGCGACGGAAACTAGCAAGGTCCGTCTGTGGGCAGTTAAGCTAGCAGAAGGCTCCGACGTGAGATAAGCTCTCAGGTGAGAAGAGGTTTTGAATTAGTTAGAATTTAGTAGTCGGAGCTACGGGGCGTGGCGTATGACGGGCACTTCCACCGGCCAATCAGGATTGGCAGATTGAGATAGATGCTTCTATCAGGGCTGCAGGAGGCTGCATCCCATAGCGAGACACCGAGTGAATATTATGAAAAAGAACTGACTACTCAAGAAATGAAAAAGTTGATTGACAGTGTTAAATCTTGACATGTAAAGAGCAAGAAATGTCCATATTATTGCATTTCCACCTATCTTTTATAGGAAATATAACATTATGTGAATGTTATGTTGGTAAGGGACACAGGTTTTTAATACAAAAGGTTCTTTGGATAAATGACAGCAGTTTGGCAAACAAATATTAAAATTCTGCTTTCAGCAGCTAGAGATTTTATTATAAGAGATCTGTGATTTTTTTTTTAAATATTTTATTATTTTCTCAATGATTAAAAGACAAAAGACACTGACGTTCAAACATTCATTCAATTGGGTTCCTTCTTGTTAGGTTAAAGGTCTGATACAAAAATAAATCTATCTTCAAGTATCAGAGTAACTTCTTCAACTACAAATCAAAAAAGAGACATAATAAGAAACACAATTAAGAAACCTATTGACTATTTAAAGGGATATTTCAGAACAGAACTTGTATAGTTTAAATTCTTTTAACCCTACAAGCAACACAAAAGTTAAGCACTCCTTTTGAATTTCATTTACTTGTTCTAATCTTTTAAAGTGAGCAAAAAGAAGCTCAGTTGATCCAGAGATTAAAGTGTTTCCTGCACTTATCTTTTTGGCGTGCCAGCATCTGCATCATCAGAGGACTGCAGATAAATCATATAACTACAAAGGATGAGATGTGCAACTGATTCAAAAAAGATTCAAGGTCTAATCTCTGCAATCAGTGGTGACCTCCAACTACATTACTCACTAACATTAATCTGATCGCTGTACACAGATTGGGTCTTATTGGAAAATCCTGTCATTTTAGAGTAAATTTTGCTGTCAAAAAACACAAATTATTTTAATACCAACCACACTAAAAATAAAGTCAGGAATTCATACACTGTTTTGAATAAAGCTCCTTAATGCGTCAGCTCAGCTAACTGATAACGTCATAGAAGGTAGCCATCTTTGTAGTGACTGTAGCAGGCCAGGTAGCATTTAGATGCAGTTTAACCAACCAATCCTCCTAAGGCCATCCCTTCCTCATTTACACAATGAGGCAAAAATGCATGCAAAAATGTAAAAGGGTAGGGGGGGTAGATAAATAGGGTTGAAGACATGAATCAAGTAAAAGGAAAAAAATAGACAGAAAAAATAGCAGCAAGACAGAAATAAGTAAATTTAAAAAAGTGATTTTTTTCAAAGCAGGAGACCTGGGATTAAAACCTGGGTGTGTCATAAATAGCACATTGCATTAAAAACACTGCCAAACAGCTAATATGATTTATTAGATTTCTTTGGTAGAAAATTATGTTATTTTCAGAATTCACAGCAGCAGAAAAGTCTACCCTTAACTTAAACAAAGGGAGGCTTATTTGGGAGTCATGGGCTGAGCCTTGATGCTGCTAACAATGTAATTAGCATCATAGATCATTTTAAGCATGAGATGTGTTCAGTTAATTTATTTCAGATAATAAATGAATGTATTTGATAGGCCTAGACATAATCCATTATTACTTAAACTTGGGGAATTTCTGTGAACAAAATCCATTTCATGCACTCCAGTGCACTAATAACATTAAGGAATCTTCTCTCAAAAGCTGAAAAAAAGAAATCCACCTATTCCTAAATTTGTTTCATGAAGTGTAGCTCAATTCATGTCACTTGGAATACTGTAGAATCCCTCCTAAACAGTTAATCATTTTATTGTCATATTACTTCTGATTTTGTGGCAAAACTTGGCTTTGTTAAGATTTTCAGCATGTTTTAATGCATAACAGAAGATACTACTAGCAGAAAATTTAGGACCAACACAAAAGATCTATATAGGAACTACAAAAAATAGAAGAACATCTATACCTGAAGCTCTCTGTTGTAAAACCCAAAAACATGAATATACAGTACTAGCATGTGTCACTCTGAGTATTTATGAAGAGATAATACATTTTTGTTAAACCCCTTGAGCTAACCTGTGCATTAATCCTTCTTTATGCAGAGGATTGTGGGAAACCATAAAGCTGCTAGCGGCAGCAAAGAAGGTAATTAGGTGCTAATTGAATTGGTGCTAGGAGGCATAATGATTCCTCATCATTGCCCCTTCCTTACTGCAGCATCACTTGGATAGCACTTATAGCAAACATTCAGACACCACCACTGGGCCTTGAGTGTTCTTGCTAAATTAGAGGTATTTTGATTAATCCATTGGTTAAACTATTACTTACTTCTTACTTGATATAACTGTGCCAATTTAACCTGTTTTTGCCCTTGTGAAACAGATTAAGTCAGAATACACTGACCTCTCTAGGTCAAGCCCTGCTTTATCTCTGTGACGGCCAAACCCATGGCCACACCTTAAGTCTGTTCTATACATGCACCTTTATTTATTTAATCCATACACATACTTTAGTTTGCAATAAAACTTTATTCTTAGTTCAAATTCATGTGTTCTATTTTTAAGCACACACATTTAGTTCACTGTATTTGTTTGCACTCATTCATATTTCTTTCTATTCTTCTCACTAATCTGTTTCTTACCTTCTATGGTGTCTAGGAGTTTGGCCAGACAGAAGATGGCAGCCAGGGCTCAGATCAGCTAAAGGAGGGGGAAATTGGACTGTTCCATCAGCTGCTGCTAAAAGGGGGGAATTTGAATTTTCTTTTCCTAATTTTTGCATTTTTTACTTAGGATTTGTTTTGCGGTTGGTGTGTTTTCATTTTTCTAAGATGTAGATTAGTTTTGCCAAATCTAACTGTACTGCCAATGTTTTTAATTTGTTATTGTTTATTACCCCTTTGTTGTTAATGGTCTGATCAGCTAGTGTGTGTGTGTGTATATATATATATATATATATATATATATACCGTATTTTCACGACTATAAGGTGCACTTAAACGTCTTTTTTTCCCCTCAAAATGTGCGGTGCGCCCTTTGGTGCGGTGCGCCCTATGTGTGTAACTGCGACTTTTGAGACCACCTCATTGAGGAGATGATGAAAGAGTGGCTGAATGTAAGGAGACCAGGTGTTTTTTTTGCACTCATCACCATCGCTGTTAATATGTAACTCCATGCGTGCCCATCTCACAGCTGATGTGAAAAACATGGGGAAACAAATTAACGCTGTGCTCGCTGTTCAACCGCTCGACATCGGTGTGAACCGGACCCAGCAGGTGCAGCAGAAGCAGCGAGTTTACATGCAAAGTCAATGGTTGACGCGCGTATAGGTGCAGCAAAAAGCGCGTTTTGAGCAGCAGCCGCAGCGCCTCGGGAGCGTTTAAGCATCTGCCAACGCGCTGCTGCTGCTCAAGATGGAAAAATTGAAGTTTTGCCGCT